TATAACATCCTAGGTAATGTACGTAGTGCTGATAAGCAACTGGATTTCTGTTGTCGTTTTGAGCTCCGTATGCTTAGATCGCTCCTGGTCACCCTCGCAAAAAGAGACGTTAAGGGGAGACACGGGTGGGGATGGTATGGGGGGGGTGTGGGGGGTTGTGGTGGTGGGGGGCGGGGTGGTAGGGGTTGTGGTGGTTGTGGTGGGGGTGGTGGTGGTGGGGGGGGGTGGGGGTGGTAGGGGTGGTGGGATGGGTGGTGGGGGGGGTGGGGTGGGTGGTGGTGGGGGGGGGGGGTGGTGGTGGGGTGGTGGGGGGGGGGTGGTGGTGGGGTGGTGGGGGGGGGTGGTGAGGGTGGTGTTGGGGGTGGTGGTGGTGGGGGGGTGGTGGGGGGGTGGTGGGTGGTGGGGGGGTGGTGGTGGGGGTGGTGGGTGGTGGGGGGGTGGTGGTGGGAGTTGTGGTGGGAGTGGTGGTGGGGGGGGGGGGTTGTGGTGGGGGGTGGTGGGAGTTGCGGTGGGGGTTGTGGTGGTGGTGGGGGGGGGGGCTGTGGTGGGGATGGTGGGTGGGGGGGTGGTGGGGGGGGTGGTGGTGGGGGTTGTGGTGAGGGTTGTGGTGGGTGGGGGTTGTGGTGGGGGTGGTGGGGGGGGGTGGTGGGGGTTGTGGTGGGAGTGGTGGTGGGGGGGGGTTGTGGTGGGGGTGGTGGTGGTGGGAGTTGCGTTGGGGGTTGTGGTGGGGCTGTGGTGGGAGTGGTGGGGGGGGGTGGTGGGGGTTGTGGTGGGGAGGGGGGTTGTGGGGGTTGTGGTGGGGGTTGTGGTGGGGTGGTAGTGGGGGGGGTGGTGAGAGCTGACAAACTCCAACTCTACAGGCGTCAGGATCGGGATTCGAACCCACGTCCTGCACACCGTCACGAGCGTTTACATTTGGGAGTGGTGCGAGGGGTGGGGGGTCACCGATCTACGCCACACACACGGACACTCACACAGACACACACACTCAACAACAACAACAACAACCGCCATTCGCCACTAAGTGGCGGTGACGTCACCACGATGCTTGTGCCAGGCCAAGTGCACCTTGAGGCCACGTGAAGTGTCGAAAGCCCGCTGGCAGGAGGTCACGGGGCAGACCCAGGTGCCACTGGTCGACTGACCGAGATGACCGAGATGACTGGCTGATGCACCACCTGTGCCCCCTACTGTGCCAACTTGCTGTGCTTTAGCCACCCGGCGCTCCGCTCGTTGTTGTGAGCGTCGCTCCTCCGCCCTCCGTTGTTGTTGGAGGGCGACTGCCTCCAACTGCCCAGTAGCGTCCTTCACGAGCCTCCTCCACTGAGGCCGATCTTGACACCGCTGGTACCAGTCATCGGCAAGTCCACTCAGCTCCACGTCCTCCTGTACCACATCACTCCATCTCTTCTCCAGCCCGTGCCGCGCCCGTCTAGCCCCCTCGATCCGGCCGAACAAAAGCTGTTTAGGCATGCGGTGGCTGGGCATGCGGGCTACATGACCCAGCCAACGCAGCCTTGCCTGCCGGAGGAGCTCACTGATGGGACTTTGCCCAGATCTTTCAAGGATTTGTGAGCTCCTCACACAATCCAGCCTGGTTAAACCCAGGATGGATCGTAGGCAGGCCAGCCTAAATGTTTCCAACCGGCGAAGATGCTCCACCAGGGGGGTCCACGTCTCGCAAGCGTAGAGAAGGGAGGGAATGACCGTGGCCGAGAAGACCTGAAGCTTCGTGCGGAGCGACAGACCAGGTAGCTTCCACACAGCGTTACGCAACCGATGAAAAGATATTGCCGCTCGACTGATTCGGAGTGAGACCTCTGCTGATAGACTGGAGCCGGTCATAAGCACACTGCCCAGGTATGGGAAACTCTCCACTCTCTCCACAACTGCCCCATCACCAATTGGGAGTTGTGGGGGTGGAGTGTCCGATGGTACAAAATACCCAGGCAGGTGCTTGGTTTTGGTGGGGCTGATGGTAAGGCCCCACCTCTTAGTGGCACGCTCCAGTCTCAGCAGCAGCGCCTCCAACTCCTCTTCTGAATGAGCAGCTATTACCAAATCATCGGCATACATAACGTGGTTGACCAATAGGGAGCCATCCCTTGATCGCACCCGGGCGTCGATCAGCCTCCCATTATATCTGTACCAAACGGAAATTCCCCCGGTACAGCTATTGAAGGCTTCACGAACTACGCGGTCAAAATAGATGTTAAATAATGTGGGAGCCAGAGGACATCCCTGTCGCACCCCAAGGTGTACAGGGAAAGGCTCCGACTCCCGGCCACGTAGTTTTACCCGGGCCCGCTCACCATCATGAAGGTCCTTAATGATCGTGAGCAGAGGGTCAGGGACTCCGAAAGCACGAAGAACAACCCAGAGTCCAGTCCTACTGATGGTATCATAGGCCTTGACCAGGTCAATAAAGCAGAGATGTAGGTCTTTTTGGAATTCCCTACACCTCTGCTGTAGCAGACGGACAGAAAATATGGCATCTGTGCAGGACCGCCCTTTCCTGAAACCGCATTGGGGCTCCGCAAGCCCCTCCTCAGCGTGCCTAGCAAGGCGATGTTGAATAATCCTTGCCAGGACCTTACCCGGCACACTGAGGAGTGAGATGCCCCTGTAGTTGTTACAGTCTGTGCGGTCCCCCTTCTTAAAGAGGGGGACCACCAGGGCATCCTTCCAGTCCTGCGGAACCCGTCCAGTGGTCCAGACTGTTGTTATGATGTCATATAGGGCAGTCTGTGCACAAACGCCACCCTCCCTCAGCATTTCGCTTGGGAGATCATCTCTGCCCGGTGCCTTCCCTGGTCTCAGACTCCGGATCGCCCTCAGTACTTCCTCAACAGCTGGAACCTCAGCCAGCCACTCACAGGGGGTGACCTCTTCCAATATTTGAGGCACCGCAGCCTCAGCAGGGTTATCCCCACTTTGTGCCATGATGTTTTCCTGGCTGAGAGAATTTCCCTCCCCCAGGACCTCACAGAAATGCTCAGCAAATCTGCAAACCTGTTCCTGGGGGTCGGAGATTGGATCACCGTTTTTTCCTCTAATGATGGTAATAGGTGTGGCGCTGCAGGTTACTTTTTTGATGGAGTTAAATAGTGATTTGTGATCACGGGCCACTGAGGCAGACTCCATCTCCTCAGCAACCCGCGACCACCACCCATCCTTACAACGCCTTACGGCTCTCCGAACTTCCGAGCGAAGGCTGCGGTAAACCTCCTCATTCTCTGACGTGGGATGCTGTAGGCGATGAGAGTGGGCCTGTCGCTTTTTCTCAATTAACCTGAACACCTCCTCTGTCAGCCAGGGTTTCTGGGGAGGTCTGGACCGCGTACCCAAAGCAGCCATTGCAGCTGCATGAGTCACAGTCCTAAACCTCGCCCATTTACCCTCGACATCAGGTGGAGTGGGGGACGATGCCAACCCCAGCTGCAAGCGATGATGAAATTCTCGCTTGCAACTTTCATCAGCTAACTGAGACCAGGCCACTTTTGGTTGGAATGGGATCCTGGGTGTACACCCACCACCGGAGTGGAAGAAAGGCAGGCGCATCTTACAGATGACTAGTCGATGGTCAGAGGACAGATCAGCTCCACGGTAGGTCCTGGTGTCAAGGACATGGGTTCGCATCCGCTGGTCCGTCACTATGTAGTCCAGCAGATGTTCTTGCTTGGACCCGGCATGTATCCATGATGTTGTGTGGATGCGCCGATGCCGGAAGAGCGTGTTGGTAATTACAAGCCCATGGGCTGCACAAAAATCTAGCAGCCTCCTACCGTTATTATTGAGCTGATCTGGCCCATGCCTTCCAATCACTCCAGACCAGGTGTCAGCATCATGACCAACTCGGGCATTGAAGTCACCCAACAAGATGACTCTGTCCCGAGTGGCCACTTTAGCCAGCACCTGTGACAGGAGGTCATAGAAAGCGTCTGACTCATCGGCTTTGCTTGCATCCCTCCACGGATGTTCGTCTTCGGTGGGGGCATAAGTAACCACGACCACCACTCCTCGCCTCTGGTTGATGGGAAGGCGAGCCCAAAGTATCCTGGGGCTTACAGCTTCCCACACCTCACCGCCACGCTCCCACGCCCCCTTCATTCTTTTGTTCAGAAGAAGAGCCACACCCTGTTGTTTGGCAGTCTCCTGCCCCGAGTAGAGGACTGTCCACCCCTCATGGTGGCAGGAGCCAGAACCGGTCCACCGGACCTCCTGAATGCCACAGAGATCCAGGCGGTACCGGTCCAGCTCCCGACAGAGGAGTGGCAGCCTCTCCTCCGCAGTGAGCGTTCGAACATTCCACGTGGCCATCCGCAATGGTTTTTTGTTGTTTCTGGAGGAGCCCCGAGGGTGAAAATTCAATCTCCTGGCTCCGCCAAATGGGGTTTGGCCAGGAGACGTCATAAAAGCCTGACCCCCCGGGGCCTCCGGCACAAGCTTATTTGTTACAGATTTATGTTTAATTCGTGGTTTAGTGGTAATGAATTGAAGGTGGAGGGGTTACCAGCCCCTCACACCCGTCCAGAGCCCCCGTTTAGCCACTGTGGTGGTCACAGACGCCATGAGGGGAGAGGCCAATGGGCATTGGCCCTCCCCCCACAGCACTGCCCACGACAGTACACACACACACTCACACACTCACTCACACACACGGACACTGTCAGGAGTCCACGCTCGCTCTAGCGCCCTCTCCTGGCCGTGCAGGGCACGGCACCTCGGCGTCCAAGCGACGAGACTCTCACGACATCTGTGCGATCAGGTCAAAGCCTCGCGCTCGCCACAGCGCTGAGACAGGCAGAGAGACACACACAGAGGCGAACAGAGACAAAGACAAACAGAGACGTAGAATCGAACACACTGAACTCGCTCCATTGACAAAGATTCCTCGATCTTTGCACATCCCCGCAAGTCGTTCTGGTTTCTATTTCACTGCGTGTGGTGTGTAGTGTAAGCAATGTGGGACATCGATGTACACGGATATGAACAAGATCAGCAGACAAGACGTCTTTCATTTAATCGGTCTCTCCACGAAACAAAGGAACGTTTTACACAAAATATAAATCCCACGGCCTTCTGCGAGTCCATGACTAGTGCAGCATTGACTCAGTGCGAGGCAGCTGTGGACCGGTTCTTGTGCACGATGTCTCAACAGCAGTCAGGGCTTGCTTCAACCCACGGTTGTCAACATCCAGACGTTCATCAGCAAGGAACATTTCTTGTCCTAGTTCACCAACATAAGACGTCATACAAAATCCTAATTAGCGTTGGGTAGAATGTATCTACTCGATGTGCTCTGCCTTGTAACTGAACACAAAATTGTAAAAAAATGCATTTTAAATGTGCTCTTAAAATTACCTCCTTGCTATGAAAGAATTCAGACTTTACATATTTCATTTATCGATCTCTCCACGAAACAAAGGAATGTTTTAAACTATAACCATCACGGCCTTCTGGGAGTGCATCACTGATTCAGTGCAAGCCACCTATGGACCCTTATTGGTGCACAGCGTCTCAACAGCAGCCGGGCTTGCTTCAACCCACGGTTATGAACCTCCAGACGTGAATCAACAAGGAAAAAATTTCTCGTCCTAGTTTGACAAAGTCTCTGTCAACACGTAATACAAAATTATAATTCGTGTTGTAGAGAATGTATCTCCTCTACGTGTAGCGTTTAAGCGGTACGCCTTGTAACTGACGGATGATCCGAGCGTGCTCCCTATTGCATGCTCCCTACTCCAGAGGCAGATACTTCCTTGAAACACAAAAGTACCCTTGACCTGTATCACAAGAATAACGGGTCTCACCTGAGTAATCTCTACAGGCTACTTACAAACACAAACACACACTTTGTCCCAACATCGCTTATTCGATGTTTGACCCTCAGACAAAATGTTCAATGTATGCGCACAATCAGAAAAGTATTCATTCTAAACTACTGACAGGCATATTGACATTGAATAACTGCAGTGAAACTTACTGCATCGGTAAAGTCACGGAAAAAGAAATTAAATAACAGAATACGACATTTCGATTGGAACACAAGCAACCATCATCAGGTGCAACAAGTGAATGAGAAAACATAGTGAACTTAGAAATATAATGCAACACAACACAGAGTCGGCCAACACAAGTCAACACCCTACCTGGTTGATTACGTTCTCACAAAATTGAACAATCTAGTTTAGATAACGTCTTATTAACAAGGGGCTATTTAAAGAATGCACCCTCTACTGAACAGTGGATGTGAAACGTAAAATTGCGTCATTCAAAACGAGTAGGCAATTGCATGCTGGCGTCTGGTTGAAAATTGAGCAAATTCTAAACATTACCCACAAACTACGCAGCTAAATTGACACATCAACCATCGCCCCCTTGAGACAGGCTCTTGACAACATGCAGGCCGGTGCAGGGCCACCACCTTGTGCCACACAGGGGCAGCTGCTACTTGGGGTGCTCTTAGAGTGTTTGAGACGAGGTACGATACAAAACTCCCGAGTTGCTGAGCGGATTAAGTCAGCACCATGTAAAAGCAATTATAACATCGTGAATGCTTGGGAGCTTATTGGCTCTCGCTGCTGTTCAGAGATCTACCCAACACACAGGTCCACAAAGACTGGCCACTCGCTCTTACTCTGCAGGTTGAACCTAGGAACTGAGTGTTCAACTTCACATTCTTGTCATTAAAGGCCTGTGACAAAGGTGCATCTATTGGAGCGACATCGTCTCTGGCTTACACATCTACCGGGTCTCCATTTGACTTCGTGTTGTCTCAGAGGAAGTCCACCCACACCTCCACTTCCACAAACTGCTGCTGGGAGTTGCCTCACTCTGCCTCAGTCAGAATTCTCCTCCTGCTTCACGTTGCCTCCATCGATGTGAAGGTCCCATTTTGGAGTTGAATCTTCATCTTCACATTTTACCTTCACTTCTTCGCTCTTCACCATCACCTCTTCACATTTCACCTTCACCTCTTCATATTTCACCTTGATTTCTCTAAAAGTGTCCAAGCTGGGATTGTCGTCCGGTTTTGACTTTCACAAGCTGATTTCACACTCCACTCCTAGTGGACCTTGTGATGCTTGTGTGTTCTCTGGTGTCTTTGAAGATGTGCTGACTGTGCAAACGATATCCTGCACACATTGCACTTGAAGGGTTTCTCTCCCGTGTGAGTTCTCTGGTGTTTTACAAGAGTAGATGAATTTGAAAACGCCTTCTCACACACACTGCACTTGAAGGGTTTCTCTCCCGTGTGAGTTCTCTGGTGTTTTACAAGAGAAGATGACTCTGCAAACGCCCTCCCACACACACTGCACTTGAAGGGTTTCTCTCCCGTGTGTGTTCTCTGGTGTGTTACAAGAGTAGATGACTTTGCAAACGTCTTCCCACACACACTGCACTTGAAGGGTTTCTCTCCCGTGTGTGTTCTCTGGTGTGTTACAAGAGAAGATGACTTTGCAAACGCCTTCCCACACACACTGCACTTGAAGGGTTTCTCTCCCGTGTGTGTTCTCTGGTGTGCTACAAGAGTAGATGACTGTGCAAACGCCTTCCCACACACACCGCACTTGAAGGGTTTCTCTCCTGTGTGTGTTCTCTGGTGTGTTACAAGAGTAGATGAAAGTGCAAACGCCTTCCCACACACGCTGCACTTGAAGGGTTTCTCTCCTGTGTGAGTTCTCTGGTGCCGTGTAAAATGTCCAGGACAATCCGTGCTGTATGCACACCGGTCGCATTGATGCCTTTTTGCACCGAGCCGCGCCGAGTGCCTTTGCTCCATCAGACCAATTCTGCAGAGGAAGCGACAGCTGCAGACAGAAAAAGAATATCCACACCATCTACACGTCAGTATCGAGACACAGCGGAATGCATATATACACAGTCACACGTGACTTACACGTCTATACTTATTCATATATTCATGATGTAGTGAAACAGTTTCCCAAATTCATCACACAGGCTGTTATTGAACACAACGAGAGGGTGAATGGTCATAAATATGCCTGGAAGCCCTCGTATCTTCAAAATGAATGTGAACCCAAAACTCCGAGCACACAATTTCGGCTGTCTGGCTACAAAATAAAAATGTATAAGAACTAAATTCAGCTGACATAGCAAAGGGTGTTGAAAACAATCCCATTTGTGTTATGCAGAAATGCGTAAATTAATACTGGTAGGAACCTCCTGGTTACACCAGCCCACAGGGGATTGTTGTGTCCGTCGTGAAGGGAGGGGCTGGGTGGAGAGGGGCTGGTCACCCCGTGGTGCCCTTATAAAACTCAACGTTTCACCTACTCACGCCGGCTTGTGCCCGCCCTCACAGTCGGGCATATTTGCGGAATACACCACGCCGCTGTTGACCCTGCAGGCCATTGAGCAAGCAACCCGACGTTCCTAGCAGCTCCCTCCGCAGCAGCAGGAATGTTGTTCAATGGCAACTTAGAGGTGTGAAGCCAGGCTCAGATGTCCTTGAATGATGGGATGAACAGATCTGACGTCAGCTGCTGCACGTGTGTGTGCTGTTTTAACTTCCTGCTTCCACTCTTATAAAGAGTTCCAGAGGAAAACTAAAATAAACTATTGTTTTGTTACAACCTCCGTGTTCATCAGAGTTAATATACTTTACACTGTCACACACTGCCCGGTTTTTCCCTCCAGATTCAGCGTCTTTGACAGACATTGACACACGTAGTCTTGGTTCTTTCGGTAAAGTCACGTAGATAGGAAATAAAAATAACAGATCATGAAAATTTTAAATAAAGACCACTTGTCGTGGGTTTATTCTTTATTTGCAATTTTTTATTTTATTTAACTTATTATCTGTTATTTTTTTAATCTCCGTGACTTTACAGAAAGAACCAAGAATATGAATTGCTGCAGTTACGAAAGTTTTAAGTCAAAACATTGACACACGCGTTCACAAAACCCACCTTGTTGTTGTTGTGGGCAGGTAGCTTCTGTAAACAAGAGCGGTACAGCAGCTCAGGCGGGCTTGGGCTGGTAAAAAAACAAACAAAAAAACTGCGTCAATATCTACAATAAACCAAAGTGACAAAGTAGCGAGCCGCGTGAAGACAAATTAAACTTAAGGGAGGGAATTAAAGCAAACGCGACCAGGCGAGGGCAGGAGGCAAGGCCCCGCGTGTCTAGGCCCCGCGTTGTAAAGTTCCAACTTGGACATCGATTCACAAGCTGCTGCTGCTCTATTGACATCCCTACGAGAGAGAGAGCGAGGCTCTAGCTTGGTAAACAACAACAACCACAACAACAACAACCACAACAACAACCGCAATGAGAATTTCTCACCTCGTATTGCAGTTCACGCGCGGACCTCCAGCTTCCTGTTAGCTCGTGACGTCACGCGGCAGCAGATGACATGACGTCACTTCTGGGGTACAAGACCCTCCCTTCTCACAATAAGAGGCTACCCTAACTGAATAAATTAATAAATTATGTTGATGTTTGCGATCATCAACATTATCAATAAACATCATTTACACCTTCTTGTTTCTTTCGGTAAAGTCACGTAGAAGGGAAGTAATAAAATAATAAAAATAAAACATAATAAAACAATTCTCACGACGTTTCGGCTACAACGCAAGCAGCCGTCTTCAGGTGAAGAATGAGACACTACCAAACTAGGAGCTTATATATAAGCTGCATTGGGGGTTGAAGAGCGCCTTAACAAAAAGAATGTGCATGTGAAGAGGAATTTAGCATATTCATGGAAAATGCGTAGGCGTTGGGCGGGGGGGTGTCAAAGTCATATTATGCCCATGCATTATGCAGGATCAGCAGCAACCAAGGGGGGTGCAGGGATTAGCAGTAACAAAGGGAAGGAATGTTAATGATATGTAGCTGCAGTTACTCAACAACCACGTAGAAAACTAAAGTATAAACTACATAAAAAACTAAAGTATAAACTGCATCGCACCATCAGTATACTTACTATACTCTATAATAAGCTGAGTTACTAACAGCAAGTAATACATTACCATTCTACCTCGTAAAAATTCTATAATATGCTTCCATCTAGACCTTATTCTCTTACATCACACGAGCATATACCGTACTATATACTGCCATAGATAAACCCAACATTAAATTATATACTGTATTGCTGTAAACCAACCTATATCTTATACATTTAATATAACACTATGTATTATTCTACACACCCTAATGTGTGTCGAAATGGTTTATTACGTCCTTCCAATGATTGCTGAGCCAGAATCCATCTTCTCGGTTAAAATTGTCTCTGTGTTTGTATATGTGGATCGCCTCATGAACGAATCTCTCATGATAGCCAGATGGCTTGCAGAGAACCTCTGTCTTGGAGAAGTCAATATCATGTGAGCCCACTGAGTTGTAACAGTGATCTGCCACGGCTGAGGTGTTTGTCCTACCGTGTTTCAGGTCAGCTTTATGTTCACGGATGCGGTCCGAGACATGTCGTTTGGTTTCCCCAATGTAACTGCTACCACAGAGGCAACTTAGTTTGTAGACGCCAGGGTACTGTATGTCTGGAACCACATCTTTTACAGACGGTACCAGATCACGGATTTTATGTACTGTGTTGAATCGGACCTGGATCTTGTGTTTAATCAGGATTTTGGAGATCTTTTTTGTGACCCCAGCAATGTAGGGTAAGGTGATGGTCTTGAAAGGCTCCTCAACAGGATCCTTCTTGATGGTTGGAGTGATGGCTTTGCGGATTGTATAGTCGGAGTAACCATTTGCCTTAAGAGCTTGGCGTACGTGTTTGAGTTCACTGGAAATGTGTTCATGGTCGGAGATGCATTGGGCTCTATGATATAGAGTCTTGATGAGGGAATTCTTCTGGGATGGATGGTGGTGGGAATCCGGTTTTAGATAAGCATCCGTGTGGGTGGCTTTCCTATAGACAGAGTGGCTCATTGAACCATCAGGTCTCCTTTTGATTAGGATATCCAAAAAGGGTAGCTTGCCATCATTTTCGACTTCCATGGTGAATCTGATGGCTGGGTGTATGGAATTGATGTGGTCGAGAAATTGGTCTAGAGCAGGCCGGCCATGTGGCCAGATGACAAAAGTGTCGTCTACGTACCTCTTCCATAAGGTCGGGCGTAGAGTGGCAGTCTGGATAGCGTCCGTCTCAAATTTCTCCATGAAGATGTTGGCTACAACCGGAGATAGGGGGGAGCCCATTGGGGTGCCCTCAATTTGCTTGTAGAAGGTTCCATTCCAGGAATTTGAGACGGACGCTATCCAGACTGCCACTCTACGCCCGACCTTATGGAAGAGGTACGTAGACGACACTTTTGTCATCTGGCCACATGGCCGGCCTGCTCTAGACCAATTTCTCGACCACATCAATTCCATACACCCAGCCATCAGATTCACCATGGAAGTCGAAAATGATGGCAAGCTACCCTTTTTGGATATCCTAATCAAAAGGAGACCTGATGGTTCAATGAGCCACTCTGTCTATAGGAAAGCCACCCACACGGATGCTTATCTAAAACCGGATTCCCACCACCATCCATCCAGAAGAATTCCCTCATCAAGACTCTATATCATAGAGCCCAATGCATCTCCGACCATGAACACATTTCCAGTGAACTCAAACACGTACGCCAAGCTCTTAAGGCAAATGGTTACTCCGACTATACAATCCGCAAAGCCATCACTCCAACCATCAAGAAGGATCCTGTTGAGGAGCCTTTCAAGACCATCACCTTACCCTACATTGCTGGGGTCACAAAAAAGATCTCCAAAATCCTGATTAAACACAAGATCCAGGTCCGATTCAACACAGTACATAAAATCCGTGATCTGGTACCGTCTGTAAAAGATGTGGTTCCAGACATACAGTACCCTGGCGTCTACAAACTAAGTTGCCTCTGTGGTAGCAGTTACATTGGGGAAACCAAACGACATGTCTCGGACCGCATCCGTGAACATAAAGCTGACCTGAAACACGGTAGGACAAACACCTCAGCCGTGGCAGATCACTGTTACAACTCAGTGGGCTCACATGATATTGACTTCTCCAAGACAGAGGTTCTCTGCAAGCCATCTGGCTATCATGAGAGATTCGTTCATGAGGCGATCCACATATACAAACACAGAGACAATTTTAACCGAGAAGATGGATTCTGGCTCAGCAATCATTGGAAGGACGTAATAAACCATTTCGACACACATTAGGGTGTGTAGAATAATACATAGTGTTATATTAAATGTATAAGATATAGGTTGGTTTACAGCAATACAGTATATAATTTAATGTTGGGTTTATCTATGGCAGTATATAGTACGGTATATGCTCGTGTGATGTAAGAGAATAAGGTCTAGATGGAAGCATATTATAGAATTTTTACGAGGTAGAATGGTAATGTATTACTTGCTGTTAGTAACTCAGCTTATTATAGAGTATAGTAAGTATACTGATGGTGCGATGCAGTTTATACTTTAGTTTTTTATGTAGTTTATACTTTAGTTTTCTACGTGGTTGTTGAGTAACTGCAGCTACATATCATTAACATTCCTTCCCTTTGTTACTGCTAATCCCTGCACCCCCCTTGGTTGCTGCTGATCCTGCATAATGCATGGGCATAATATGACTTTGACACCCCCCCGCCCAACGCCTACGCATTTTCCATGAATATGCTAAATTCCTCTTCACATGCACATTCTTTTTGTTAAGGCGCTCTTCAACCCCCAATGCAGCTTATATATAAGCTCCTAGTTTGGTAGTGTCTCATTCTTCACCTGAAGACGGCTGCTTGCGTTGTAGCCGAAACGTCGTGAGAATTGTTTTATTATGTTTTATTTTTATTATTTTATTACTTCCCTTCTACGTGACTTTACCGAAAGAAACAAGAAGATGAATCCCTGCAGTCACGAAAGCTTTAAATCGAAATCATTTACACCATCATATACAACAATATCATCAGCATCATCATCAGCATCAACAACAACATCAGCAGCAGCAACATCATCAGCAACATCATCACCACCCCTAGCATCAGCAGAAATATCAACATCATCATCAGCAACAACAACAACATCAGCAGCATCAACAACAACAACAACATCATCAGCATCAACAACAACAACATCAGCAACATCGTCACCATCTAGAACAGAGGGGAGGGAAGACTGCGGCCTAGTCGGCCTCGGGCCATCCCGAGTTTTCCTAGCGGACCCGCCGCGCCCGGAGCGCCTTCCCCGGCAGGAGTCGGGATCGAATAACGGGTCCGCCGGGCGTGCTGAACACACATACACACAGTGTACACACACACACACACACAGTGCACACACACAGTGTACACACAGTGTACACACACACAGTGCACACACACAGTGCACACAGTGTACACACACACATAGTGCACACACACACACACAGTGCACACACACAGTGTACACACACACACACAGTGTACACACACAGAGTGTACACACACACACACAGTGTACACACACACAAAGTGTACACACACACATTGTACACACACACAGTGTACACACACAGACACACAGTGTGTACACACACAGTGTACACACAAACACACAGTGTACACACACACAGACACACACACAGAGTGTACACACACACAGTGCACACACAGACACACATACACAGTGTACTCACACACACACAGTGTACACACACACAGTGTACTCACAGACACACAGTGTACACACACACAGTGGACACACACACAGACACCACACAGTGTGTGTACACACACAGTGTGTACACACACAGTGTACACACACACAGTGTACACACACACACAGTGTACACACACACACAGTGTACACACACAGAGTGTACACACACACACAGTGCACACACAGACACATACACAGTGTACACACAGACACACAGTGTACAGACACACATACACAGTGTACACACAGATACACAGTGTACACACAGACACACAGTGGACACACACACACAGACACACACAGTGTACACACACAGTGTACACACACACACAGTG